ACTTTTTCATTGGAACTATTAATAAACCATCCACATAATCTTATTGAATATAACCAATAGAATAACGATTTATTTGACTGTAGCGCTTAACTAATTTATATACATATATATCTCATTTCGAGATTTTATATTTTTAATTTTGTTTTGTTGTGAATTCTAAAAGGAAATTTTTTAGTAATGAACTCATCAGGATTAACTAAAGATCTTCGTATTTGTGATGATTATCTTCAATTTCAAAATCATTTAAAAGATTTAAGAAAATTAGATGATTTAATAATAAATACACTTAATACAACTGTTCTTACAGCTACATTTCGATCTCAAGGTTCTGATGCAGCAAAACAATGCCAACAACTTGGTGATCAAGTATATTTATTTTATTTTATTTTATTAATAATTTTCAAATTGTTATTTAGATTGCTTCACGTACAAATTATCGTAGTGAATTGATTTCTTCATGTTTATCACGTACAAATGATTTAATGGCACAAAATGAGACAAATGATAATCGTCGTAAAGCATTAATTTTTCAACGACGACAATTACAAAATGAACGAAATGTTGAAGAAATTGTTCGAACAAATACTGAAAAAGTAATAAAAATAGAAATAAATTTATCTAAGGTATTTATTTTCATTATTTGTAGGCATTTTATGAACGTTGTCGAGATTATTATACACCTGCGAAATTTTGATCGACATTATCATGAACGAAATGATTCTTTTTTTTTAAAACCTATCAAACAAAGAGAACCTTCGTGTGTTTTTAGGCTAATTGCCAATCCAGTGATGATGTTACTAGTATAGTTAAAGATTTGTTTGTTTTTGTTTTCTATTCTGTTTTTTTTCCCATAACTGATCTTTTTGTGCTTTCATATTGGAATGGATATGATCCTTTTTTTCTATTTCACTTATAGGTAAAAAAAAAATATTCTAACATATTATTAAAAAGAATCAAACTATTTTTCTCTAATTTGCTGATCAAGAATTAACTTTGAGAGGATTACATAGTCAATTAACAGTATGAAATATTAGCTTAATTATCTCTTTTCTAGATTAATAAGCTATTCAAACTGCCGCCAGAACTTTTACTTCTTATACCACTTCTCATGAGCCTTTTGTGGACGTATCATCAACAAGGTTCTCATTTACTTCTCCAATCTTCTCTTTCAAATATTCTCCGATCGATAGTAACAACTAGTGTTCATACTAGAGCTCGACAATCACCATATGTCGGAACAAAAGATGTTCAAGTAAGATTTGATTTTATTAAAATATGAAGTAAAATAGAATCTTATGTATATATATTAGAGAACAGCAGTACCAGATAGTAAAGTTTCATGGAAGGTGAATTGGCCTGATTATAAAGCAACGGAATACACAGCATCAAAAGTTTTGAAAAATCCACCATGGGCTGATGATCCAGATGCGTATGATTGTGAAAAAAACATTTTCGCGATCTTTCTATATTTGTCTGTATAGAAAAAAAATTAAAAGTTTTAATGAATTCGATGGAAAAATTGATCGACGAAGTTTCATGGGTGAATATGAAATCGATGATAAAACAAATCGACCAAGAAATCCTGCAGGTCGTACTGGATGTATGGATTGATGTTTATTTATATATATGCATTATAAATAGAATAATTTCATTTTTAGTATCAGGGCGTGGTTTACTTGGTCATTGGGGACCAAATCATGCTGCCGATCCAGTTGTCACACGTTGGGCTAAAGATCAATCAAATTTGAAAGAAAAAGTTTTAGAAATTGTTCTCATCAATCGTAAAGATAATAATCATTTAGCTTTACCTGGTGGTATGATTGATGAAGGGTAATAATTTATTATTCATTCATTAAATTACTTAATAATATTTCTATTTAGTGAAAATGCATTCGTAGCAGCTAAACGTGAATTTCTCGAAGAAGCTATGAACTCGAACGATGATGCTGTTGTTGAACAGATTGATAAATTATTTGAAAATGCTGATTCAGTAAATAGAATTTATCTTTTGAATATGAATTCTAAGAAAAATTCATTTCTTTCGAATAGATCTATAAAGATTATGTTGATGATCCAAGAAATACAGGTTTCTATTTTAATATAAAACAGAAGAAAATTTTAATTTTCTTTTTTTTATTATAGATAATGCTTGGATGGAATCAGAAGCAATAGATGCACATGATGAAACGGGTGAATTAACAAAAGATTTAAGATTAGAAGCTGGTAATTATACTATATTTCATCTTTTCTTTATCATATCATTATTTAAAAAAAATGATTCTGTAGATGTTTCTGTTACATAAGCATTCATATTCATTGATTTATTGTTAGAATGAGATGATGTTGATAGTGGCTGTTGAGCTTTGACATACTGTACCATTTCACGATATAAATCAGATCGACCAACTTGACTGATTAGATAAACAATATCATCAAGTGTTATTTGATATCGACGTGGAGGTATATAAGATTTTGTTTGACATGGAATACATGATGAATATGAAGGAATAAATGTTTGTTGATGCGGTGAAAAATTATCAGGAGATAATTGAGATGTTAAATTTGTTTTAAAATTTGGATCTTTTAAATAATCATCAAGTAAAAGTTCCCATGATGTACGTGGTGGTGGTGGTTTAATAAGAGATTTCGTTTGAGATACATTTTGTTTTACTGTATTTTCTACCAACTTTTTGTTCGTTTTCTTTTTAATCGTATTGTCATATTTAGACGTTTTTAAAAAATTAGAATAGTAAAATTATATTGATAGAAATTAAAATTGCGCGTTTTTGTTTTTTTTCCTTATAGGCGATGATGCAGCAAAAGTAAAATGGGTTCAGCTTGATCGTGTGCATAATCTATATGCATCACATGAATCTATGGTTCGAATAGCTGTTAAAAAACATGGAGCATATGAATATTGGCATGATAACCAACATTCAAGTGAAACAACTGATGATACTAATAATAAATAAACTGATAATTTTTTTTTGTTTTATTTATAACGAACGAAAATAATTGTATTTAAATAAATTTCATCTTGAGAGTGTGGATGTGGGATGAGTGCTAATTCTATATTAAACATCCACACTCACCTTAATTAGAGTTGTTCAACCGACAATTAATAAGAGCATAGCTGTGGTTATCAGGATATTAGTGATTAAAAAGAACAGTATCATGAAAGATGAACATGAATAACATTTTGCCTTGAGTTTATGATTTAGTCAAGAAGTTTTACTTTGAAAAAGATGAATACTTAGTATCAGTGTTTCATTTTCATTCTACTAATGGAAATTATTCGAAAAACTGCAACTACTATTGATATTGATGATATGCATGTATATATATCTATTGAATATTAAACAAGCAGACAAGTAGCTTGTCTTATCCTGTAGATATTGAAAAAGAAATATCCTTTATTCAGCAGCTATTGATTTGTTAGTATGCACTTCTAACTTAGATGTTCAATTACTGACATACAATAGTCAACAGTCACCTGTGATTTTATTGAAAATCTAATATAAAACAAAAAAGATTTTTTTCATTTACATCAATGAAAAATGTTTTATCATTTTAAGTGATGGATTAGCTATGCAGCAAGCTGTCGTGCAAGACGGAGTCGCTGTTCACGTTCTTGTTCAGCCATCCAACGACCAAAAAACCAATCCTAAACGTCCATAGCAAATAAAATTTATAGATTAAACATTAAATAAAAATAATCTACTAACTTCTAAATCGAGGAAAAAGTAAAAATTATTAATATTCCATTCTATACATATCAATTGAAGTTGATGAGGACGTGGCACTTTTTCAATCATATAATCTGAATTATTCAATTGCATGTTTAAGAAAAAAAAACCTTTATAACTTAACAAATATCCTCACATTCATTCAAGTATTCAAGTTGTTCATTGGTTAATTTTTCTTCAACTTTTTTCAATTCTAAATGAAATGAAAGTCTTAGATTTATCTCTAATCGCTGTTATGTATTTCTGTTCATTTCGAACAATCCGGCCCGGAAACGGTCGGTTCGAGATAATTGGAGAGATTTCATGGAAGAAGCATTCCTGCGTCCAATTCCTGACATTTCGTTGCTGGTCTCGGTCAGAAACGGTATGTTTCCAGCGAGTTGTAGCCGGAAACTCATGGAATCCTGCTTCAGAAACCATCGTTCTGGGTAGTGAGGAGAAAACTATTTTTTATATTTTGTGATGTTGTTATTGATTTTATTGTTTCTTTTTCTTATTTTCGAAAGGAAGTGGTCAAAAATCATAGGTTTTTACTCACGCTAGGAATGTCATAACACGGAAGTCTTTGTCACCTGGAACACAGATCTGACATTCATTGGTCTAGGTCGGATCCTTTTTTTCAGCGATTCCCATTTGAGAGTACCTGAGTCTAGTATGAAGATCCAAGTACCCTCGTATCGGAAACATCGAAAAAAATCGATCAGACTTAGACGAATGAATATCGGATTTGTGAACTAGGTGACAACAACTCTCGTATTTTGACATTTCAATCGTGAGTAAAAAACCATGATTTTTGGTCCAGCTCCATCAGTTTAAAACCTTTTGATTTGATCAACTGGCTGATTTTATTTCTTCATGATCATATCCTGAAACAAAGTAATAACTAAATCAGCAATAAAAGATTCAGTTGACTTACGAAGGGCGTCTAGTTTGGTCAACTGATATCGAAGATAATCGATTTTTGCTGTTTTTGCCTTAATTTCTGCTTCTCTCCAATCAACTACCAGTGGACTCATGACAAGATCAATTTCGTTTTGATGTTCCTCCCGTTGCTGTTTTATAATTTTAACTTAGTCTTGATGGTCCATTATATCTACGATTAGCGGGACTATCTGTTTAATCAAAATGTAACAAGACGTTTCGGAAAAAAAAGATTGAAAATTAAACTTTACTTCTTCGGAATACTCATTAGAGTTATCTGTTGTTGCCATTTAAAATTATTGATTGAACGGATCTTCAACGATATAAACATAGAAAAATGTTTTCATAAATTGATCCGATACGAAAAACTAATTGAAATAGTAATTGACAAACAACTGAGGGTGGGTGTGTGGGCGGGTGTGGGTGTGACTATAGATAAGTCTGAGTCATAGTATGAGCGTGGTTGTGAGTGCAAAATAACAAGAAAACCTACACCCATACCCACACCCGCACACCCACCTTCAAGATTGATTTCTATTAATGAATTACTAACCTAATTGTTTTAATTGTTGAATGGTCGTATCAATTGATTGTTGTGATGGTTTATCAGGCAGAAATGTTTTCATATAATCTAATCCTTTTTGTAATGGTGATTTTCGCAATGAAAATTCATTATTCATCAAATCTGATTGAAATATTTGTGGAGTTGGATATAAAAGATCATCAACTTTAAAACTATATAATGAATAATATTCCCCTGATTGTGTTCTACCTAAGCGTCCAAGTCTTTGTTTAATTGTTGACTGAGCTGCTCGAACTTCTTTTAATATAGTTCGTTTTGATTCAATATCATAAATAGGTGTATTAATCATACCAGTATCAACAACATATTTTAAAGAAGGAAATGTTAAAGATGTTTCAGCAACTGTTGTTGAAAAGAATACTGTTCCATGTTCAATATTTTCTTGTTGACCATGTAGATGTTGAGATTGAACAAGTGGATATGCAACAATAGTTCCTCGACTTATTTCATTTATTAAACGACAACATTGATTAACTTCCATAACTGAACTAACTAAACATAAGATTTGATCATGTCGTTTTCGTTGTTTATATAATTCTTGAACAATATCGAGAATATTCTCATTTGGACGAGGTACCCATATCGTCAAAATCGGGGCAAAATCGACGGTTTTATTCGCGATTTAGCACCCGATTGATTGTGAGATTTATCGCGATAAAATCGACCAATTTGGCGATTTTTCACGATTTAATCGCGATATATCGAGTCTTTTTTAATAGTAGAAATGATCCATTTGAGCCCTCCCATTACCATCTCAACCCAGATCGAACAATCTGATACGAAGATCAGTCACGGATTCTTGCATGACCCTATCAGATCCTATACTGATAGCGTATATGATCATGCAAGATCATACGGAAAATAATGTAGCATATCCCTATGCCTGTATACTTATCGATATATATATTTACCTATACCTTTATAGGTATATCTATTTACTTATACCCACATGGGTATACACATATGGGGTGTGGGTATGACTGTAGATAAGTGTGAGTCAGAGTATGAGCGTGGTTGTGAGTGCAAAATAACAAGAAAACCTACACCCATACCCACACCCACACCCTATCAGATAAGCAATAGAATAATTTTTATTTTTGTATCAGCATGTTCATTTAAAACAAAATATACCAGAAGACGCAGCATGAAAAGCCCTAAGCTGTAGAGTTTAGAACTGTTAATGCTGCATCTTTTGGTATATTTTGTTTTTATTGAAACGTATTGTATGCTGTCTTAGATTTATGCAATTTTTTGGGCTAGAACCGAAGGACATAACATGGAAAATATATGATTCAATAGAGTATAGTCAAGGGTGTGAGTGGATATTTGTTAGAGAGCACATCTCACCCACATCCTCAAGAAGTGCGTTCACCATCGGAACTACAATCATTATTTGTTTCACAAAAGTCATATCGTACAAGAGCACCTCTTCGAAATCCTTGAGTACATAGTTACATCTGTCTTAAATCTCGTGAAAGTTCATACTTTTTTCTCTGAGGGCTCGATTGAATAAAAAAAAGACGATGATTAAAGTGAAATATAATATGAATTTATTTATTTATGTTAATATGGAAAAAAATTGTTAAAAAAGCTTATCAGAAAAAGAATAATATTAACTGTTATAATTGATGAAGCTGAATTAATTTTAATTTTATAAATTTTGAAAGGTTTATCGACTTGATTTTTTCCATTGTTAAAGGAAGGAATTCGATTATTTTGTGACATAGGCACATATAAATATCCATCAGCACTAACATCTGATGCATCACCCCAAATAATTCTTTCATCTTGCACAATTAATTTCCATGAACCATTGTTAGTCATATCTTGTTGCCAAATTGCTCGTCTTTCTAAATCCATTAAATAAATAAAACCTTTGTCATCCATTGTTGTTCCACCAGTAGGCATCGTATTCCAACTAACAGAAACGTTTTCACCAAGCTGAGTTTCAGTCAATGATTGATTTACTAAATCATTAGTCGAAATTTGAAACCAATTATAAGAAAATGAAGGTTTGTAATAAAGAATTTTTTCATCGGGTGATAATTCAAGATTATTATTTGGCATTCTTTTTGGTTGACCTGTTTGATCTAAAACAACTCGTCTTTCCATTCGAACAACTGTGGGATCAGCAAATTTAGTTGATGGATGATCGTAGAGAACACGACGAACTTCACCATTTGCTAAATTAATAATAACTACTGAACCTAAACCAGATTCCGTTAAATATGCATAATTAGAACCAATTCTAACGTCATTTAAAGCAAATCCTGAAGGTGCATTTAAAGCTGAAGTTGAATAAATTCTTTCAACTGTATTGTTTTGGAGATTAATTTTAACAAGTTTTGAACCATTTACAAATGTATTATTTCCATACATTCCACTATCAACAACCCAAAGATTATCATTTGAATCTGTTAAAACAGCATTAATGTTAACAAAACGATTTCCTGCATCGTTGGATGAATTTGTTGGATTGAATGTATTCCAATCTCCACCAGGAATTGGTTTAAGAGTATTGTTAGATAATATTTCAGCAACAGATAATGTAACATCTCCTAATGCTCGAGGAAATGCAGCAAACATACGATTTGCTTTTGTTAAAGCAACACCATTCCATTGATAAACAGGTGATTCAGCTACTGGAATAAGACGATCATCAGCAATAACATTCATACAAATTAAAGAAAACAATAGCACATTTGTTAACATCATTGTTGTATAGTTAATAACTAAAATTAGAGTATAGATTTGAAAATGTATAAAGTAAAATAGATCTTATAATAAATAAAATTCAGTTATTTTTCTTTTTCAATTCGTCTTCATACATTCATATATACTGAATCGGATAGGACAAATTATATATAAAAAAAAGAAATATCTTACTTTTAGCAGTTTCTATTTGAAGAAGAATGTCGATCTAACAAAATCAACGTACACCGACGTCGGAATATAAAAAATGCTAATTCGAGTGGTATATAAACATTTAAATATTATAGTTTTATGACAAAAACATTACATACGATATAAAAATCAGTAAAAAGTCAAGTGCAGTGTATATTTTTATGTTTCTCTATTAATCATCGTTTATTTTGTTTTTATAGATCTTGTATGAAATAATATTTGTATAGTTCCTGCAAATATTTATTTGATCTTTTCTGTAACATCTAGTAACAGACTAAGAATAACAAATAGTAAAGGATTATTGTTTTATTTAATTTAAAGTGAGCGATATATCTTCACATTGCCCCTGTGACATAAAGGAAGCAAGAAAAGAAAACCATAAATATAGTACTAATTTTGCTTACACATACACAAAAAAAAGAAAAGCAATTCATTTAACCACATAAGAATACAAAAAAGGAGAAGAAATGGTGTAGATAGAACTACATGAAATTTGTGCGTATTTATAAAAGAGGAAGAACAACATGATGAAAATTGACGTTTCTACATAATTACAAGAATAATTACATACTCAGAAATACAAGACATAATCGGACAGTGAATGTATATGATCGTGTAGTAAATTTAATACTATATTACATGTTCTTCCTCTGCTAACAATTTCTTTTCTTTAATTAACTAGAAGAGGATTGTGATAATGTTCGTGAATATACGATAGATACATTTTATGTTGAAGGACATCACACAGTACCGATGGATTTGTTTTAATAATGATGTGAATGATCTTAGACCAATGAGCCTTTGTGAGTTTTTTCAGAGAATTTTACTTCGGTAATTGTTATATTTCATCATTTAAAGCATCATACCAATCATGAATAGATCTAAATATCTATCTGTTTAATGCCTCTAAATGAATTTGTTTAGTTTTTGATAAAAGTGGAAAGATATTTCCCATCTTGAGGATGTGGATGTAGACGAAGAGTATAGATAATCATACCCACACTCACACCCTCAAAACAATTCAATGAAGTATCAGGCAAACAATAGAATTATGTACTACATACATCATTCATCGAACGAATCTGCTGAGTTGTTGTCATATTTCAAAACAAAAAAAGACTTTCGTCCGCCCAACCTTCTTTATGAGTTAGATACTGTTTGACTGTCACTTCTCTCTGAATAACAGTAAAAATAAATATTTACAACGACATTTTTTTAAGTGAATACATAAGATACCAGCATACCTTTGAAAAAACCTTGACTATTTGTCTAAGAGTATGATTATAAAGAAGAACAGACAAAATTCTTACACTTATAGTTGTTGTGTGAGTTACCGTTGAGTAAATATTGATAAGCTTCAAGGCTGATGCTGAAGGTTTCATTTTGAATCATTCTATACTGTGTTATGTACGTAGAATATCTCGATAGAGATTATTTTTATTTCTTTTTATTTTCCCCAATAGCTCATTGCATTTTAGATTTTTCAAAGTATTTCTTGATTTTTTCTCTCTCAAAATGGAAGATACGAATATAAAAACGGCTGAAAATAAACAGTGGACTTTTATGAATCATCTTCAAAAAGTTGAAATATGGTTATTAGCCGTATTAAAAAATCCGGAAGCCACAGAAAAAAGTACGAACTTTCGCGAGCTCCAACACAGCTGTAACTATGTGCACGAAAATTTAGAAGAGATGGTCTTGCATGGTATGACTTTTGAGAAACAAATAATGATTGTAGTTCCGATGGTGAACGCACTTCTTCGCGTTTATGCTATCGATAAAACTCGTATTATCACGTCACAAAAATACTTTCAGTCGATAGTTACTGTTTTTACCAAAACGTTGCTTCAAATTTGTAAAGACGTACCAGAAGATGCTCTTCTACAAGAACGTGCTACAAATATATTAGATTCACTTCTCACAAATTTTGCTGAAGATGATCTTCTCAAAAAATGTCTCGAATTATTTTTTCCAAAGAAGACAACACCATCGACAGGTAATGTTTTTGATAAATGTTTACGTGATGAATCTCGTTCTTTTAGTATGATCGCAGAAATTTGAGTTTTAACAGAAATATCATATTATTGGCATCAGATAAAATGAGTGAGCTATTTATATTCACGAGGGAATATTTGAAAGTGTCACGCATTGTTTCGAATCGGATGTATATCGATTCGTAGGAGTTGATTAGACTAGACGGGTACTTAAATGATTTGTCTCTATTATAGTATTATTTGTCCGTTGATTCGATTCATAATCGCTAGAAAGCTTTTATAATTTCAACTTCAAATAATTTTTTTCGAGATGATGAATATCTAAAAATCCATGACATGTCATTGGAAAGGTAAACTAAGCGAATATTTCACGATGTGCGATATCGTGAGAAGAAGAATTATTTTTAAAGCTAAAATTATAAAAGTGTTTTACGCAATATTTATGCATCGTGTCTATGCGCAAATTTCGGATGGAAATACCTTTATTCGATTGTTTAATAAATAGCTTCTCAGAAGTTCAATATTGAGAATATTATCAAAACTCGTGAAGAATAGTATAATAGAAACAAATCTTTTGGAAATTCTTCTAATCTAATCAACATTGATAGATTGTTTTAAATCCAAAATATAATAGAAATCTACCTATGCTACTCGGAAGTATTCTAACCATAGTTAACATTCACAGTTAATTTACACTATTTTGAAGCATTTTTGAAAGTGCGTACAATAGTTAAATAAAACGAAAGAGCATTCGTTAAATGGATAGAATAAAAGACGACAAATTCAAGCTAATATTTTCAAAAAAATGATGATAGTTGATTCATTTAGATTCTAACGTAACCAATGAGCAATGTCCACCGGTGGATCTCACTGGCCCCGAAGCTTTGGAAAGAATAATGAAGTGTATCGCTGATTGCATTTTCTATTCAATTATTCGATCAATAGCTGAATTTAGCAAAAAGTATCAACGTTTAATGATTGTTTTTCGGGAGTTTATTAGTGACTTTTTTGCCGGTACCAATAATCGCTCCACAGACAGTCGATGTATGAAAATAGTCCATCATATGTTAAGCGTGGCATGGAATTGGATCGATAAAACCGTACTTGTGCCCATCTTTCTCGAAGCTGGCTATGCTCATGCGGCCATTGAATGGGTCAAGAAATTACCATCTTTCGGTCCTGGAAAAGAATTCGATCGAGCAGTGATATCAATTGTTCACAATCTCTCGAGAGACAAGAAAGGATTACAGACTTTGAGACAAAATCGTGCATTCGAAAGTTTAATGGAATATAAACCATTCGCGAATTTGAAAAATGTTGATAAACCTGACAAAATGATGCAAATATTGGGCATGTCGTTGATTGGAATAGCTACAAGCGATGATGATCAAAAACAAAACCAAGAACTCATTTGTGAAGTCACTGAAGATTTATATTATATGTGTAAGGAAGCTTCCGAATATACAGATTTGAGATACAATAATGGACTTCATTTGTCGGAAATTCTCGATGCACTTGGACGTGCTTTTGCGAACATGTCCATCGTACGACATGTTTTGGGCAATGAATTAAATGTAAAAACAGAACGAATAATTTTTTTTGCAGAACTGTTCGTATCTACCTATGGATTAACAATTGATAAAGAGACCGATTATCTCGAGAAGATCCTTTGGGAATCTTTACTAAACATTCTTTTGTGTATTTCGAATTATGATGAGTATCGAGCAGAATTGTGTAAATACGGCGAGTTTCGCGTTCTTATTGAGGGCCTCACCAAACGACCAAAACAAGACATTGCCAAACGGATTCTGTGCAACCTTAAGTTGAACGAAAACCCTATTACATCACCTCATCAACAAAAACCCAAACAACAACCTCTGATCTACATTAGTTATAACAGGGCCGATGAAGAATTTTGTAAATTATTTGTTGAAGAATTACGCAGATTCAGCAAGATAGGAATTTGGGTTGATTTCGAAAATGTCGGCTCGTCTGAAGATCTGTGGGATTCTGTGGCTCCGATAATTCAACGTGCAACTATAATTATTATCTTAGTATCGAATGCTTACTGGGATAGTATTGTTAACTTTCAAGAACTAACTTATGCAATGACATTCGTAAAGAAACAATCACAAAACGAAAGTGTTTCTGTTATATTTATTGAAACTAAGCCGGGTGCTGCAGACAAGAGGGAACTAATAAGTGACTCGACAAAAGTCAAAATGACTTCATACAAGGAGCATATCAATGCAATGGTCCAAACTGTACTCAAACACAATGCATTCTTGAAGAAATATACGCTGGTCACAAACTCAGCTAGGATTGCTGTGCAATCACATATTTGCACAATCATATAAAGAAACAGACTCTTTATTAACGAGTAGAAAAAACTGCTCGAGTTTTCGTTGTTTTTCTATCTTGAACCAAGAGCAAATATTCACTTGACAAAAACATAGTCTAAATAATTCAAACCCAAAATTTTAAAATCAAAAATATAGGTAAAGCATCTTGAGGGTGGGTGTGGGTGTGGGTGTGGGTGTGGGTGTGGGTGTGGGTGTGGTTGTGATGTGCATGTGGGTGAGAATGTGAGCCGATATTAGTTAAAAATCACCCCTACACTCAAATCCTCAAGATGGCCCATAAAAGTCCACTCCTTATTTCCAGCCGTTTCTATATTCGTATCTTCCATTTTGAGAAAAAAAATCGAGAAATACTTTGAAAAATCTAAAATGCAATGAGCTATTGGGGAAAATAAAACGGAATAAAAATAATCTCTGTCGAGACGTTCTACGTACATAATAGTATAGAATGATTCAAAATGAAACCTTCAGCATCAGCCTTGAACCTTATCAATATTTAGTTAACGATAACTCACACAACAACTATAAGTATAAGAATTTTGTCTGTTCTTCTTTATAATCACTACTCCTAGACGAATAGTCAAGGCTTTTTTTCAAAGGTATGCTGGTATCTTATGTATTCACTTAAAAAAATGTCGTTGTATACATTTGCTTTTACTGTTATTTAGAGAGAAGTAACAGCCAAACAGTATCTAACTTACAAAGAAGGCTGGGTGGACGAAAGTGTTTTGTTTTAATTTAGTAATATGGCATCAACTGAACAGATTTGTTCGATGAATGATGTATGTAGCACATAATTATGTTGTCTGTTTGATACTTTGTTGAATCCTTTTAGGATAAGAATGGTACATCTGTACCTTGGCGTGATGCAATAGAACGGTTGAAATTTCAACAGCGTAAATGCACAAAGTTTATTGCACAAGAGTAAACAAATCTATTCTAATTCTGTTTTTGAAATTTTAAATAATTAAATGGTTGTTTTATACATACGTAGAATTAATCGAGAAAGATGCATCTGCGGCAATTCTCATGATATGAGCAATACATCCGAACAGAACGAAGTATGGGACTGGAAACAACACACCATACCAGGACAAACGAAATGTTATGGAATACTTCCACACTCAAACAGTCCAGTAGGTGAAACAATTGACTGATAAAGGAAAATATTTGAATTTCTTTATCATCTAGTATTTGCGCTGTGATGTTAAGGAAGTTAACAAAGTCAGTTTGGTGTTATTGGGATTGTGGAATATCCCCATACCTAGCTTGATTATGCGAATGGTTGGCGATGCAACTTCAACATTAAACGTTAGGTTGGAAAAAGAAGTTTTACGAGGAATTTCAGATGCTGCCGTAGCATCAGGTAGACGCATGCTATAATCCAAATTTATAAAATAAGATTTGATCAAATTCTAGATGCATGGATTATAACAAGTGGTTATAAAGAAGAGACAACTTCAGAACTGATTGGGGAGATAGTTTACAAAAACCGAGTCAAAAATGCCGAGCTCAATTTCAGTGCAATTGCCGTTGGTAAATGGGGCAACATTCGCGATCGTGAAAAACTCTATGGAAGGTTCGACTAATTCATTTAATTTAGCACAGCCTAATAATGACCTGTTCAACATGACATCCAATGCTCTACTGAGGTACCGGTGTGCATTCAATTTTGTTTCTATTTGAGTAGTGCATGTAAACCATCTATGTCAGAAATCTCTAAATCAAAATTATTAGAGTTTTTTGTAAACCTAGTAAAGAGTTACGGCGATCAAATATTTTAGAATCGCTTGAATTTGATAAGAAAGAATACGAAAGTCTTTCTAAAAGCAGTCCATTTGCTTCGGTCACAGATCGACTGAATTTCTCATGCGCATTATTTGAATGCGGAGCGCGAAAAAGTGAAGAAAAATAGCTATTTAGGTATTATATTGAAGGGCCTTGTTTGTTTTTTTGCCAAATACCGTGAGAAACTATATATTTTTTGCCGATAGCAAAGCCCCAATTCTGAAAATAGGATATTAGCGGTCGTGTCTGCTGCGTACCTTTTTTTCACTACATATTGATAAAAAAAACTTGGTCTTCACTCTAGCAATGACCAACACTATCGAATAGTATACTCGAATGAACAGACTCAAGACTATGATGATAATTCGACGTGTTCATTTGATCAAAATCTTCTATTTAGCAAAAATGTGGCAATCGTCCTTCGTAGAATAACTTCTTTGATTCTCCTAAGCATACAAAAAAAATTCAATCTCTTTATTGTTCTAAATTATCCTCTTGAAGAAATTTTGACAAACATTTCTTTAAAATAACCGTACGGTGATCATTTAGTGTATTAGGTTCTTGAAATGTTATTCACAACTAGGTATCGAAAATGCAAATCTTGCGAAAGTTTGAAAGACAAGGTAGGATCCACAATTGATCACTATTATAGTCTCGAAAGTATTTACAGTAAAAGCCCACCTGAGACGAGCTCCATAGATAATGAAATCAGTTAGGCTGACGTACAATTCACTGTTCTTTCCTCATTCGCATGTTCAAAAAGCGAAGTGCCTATAACTGATCCGAGTGATGACGATAATCGACAGCTACCGTCCTCACTAGATTGTCTACTGCTTGTATAATCGCAGCTTGTCGGAGACTATTCTTCAAAGAAACTCTTATACACAGAGTTCATTCTTTCAAGTCTTAGATCTGCGCGATTGAGGTCTATTTAATTGTCATCTACTTCCGATGAACATTTGGTTTTGATACTTACGAGACTCTGGAAGTAATCACTCGTGGAATTCACCTTATCCTATGAATTTACAAGAGATTTGTATTTGTGACCGCGTACGTATGATCAACACACTGAAATCTAATAAGTCAAATGATTGTCCTACGGTTACTTTTGAAAGTGTGTTTGTTAAAAGTGACGTACTTGCTTTCAGATATCTGAAAGGATTGAGAATTTTGTTCTGTTCCCGAAAAAAACATGCCTTTTATTCTATGTAGCATAATACTCTGATTCTTGTTATATGAAACCGTGCAATCAAACCGAAAATTCGAGCTATCGTTCTATTATTGTATCTGTTCCTGTAAGCGTGGCGTTCGATAGTGTTGGTCATTTTTCAAACTGAAGGCCAAACGTTTTTCGAGAACTTTCGTTACACTTTATAAGGAGAAAAAATTTACATAATATATATAAAAATCAGTTTGATGGGCTCTAATGTGGTTGTACGACAAGTAGTGTCGAAGTTCGTCCTTTTTCATCGATGAAATAATGGATAGTTACACATGCTGTTTGTCAATTAAAGATTCAGCAACGGCCTTCAATATTTTATATAAATAGATGATTTTATTTAATTGTCGAAACTCTATTCTATAACTGAAGCAGAGGGCTTACTTTAAGAGCGAATTTTTCATTCTTTCTCATCAGATGCAAACGATGCTAGAATTTTTCGTCGACCTAACTCTTGACTAGATTAGTCAAAAATATTAAAAATTTGGATTTAGAAATTTCTGACATCGCTGATTCAGATGCACTGCTCAAATATAAAAAAAATGAACATACACCGATGTCTTGATCTTCAGGATGATGTTTAATAATCTTATAGAAACTTACTTAAATTTTACATTCAAAATCATTTTTATTATGTCATGATTCACTAATATTCTATATGTTCAGTAGCAATCAAGTTTGTGAGCATGCCCCATCTCCACCTGGTCGGTATGCACTCGAACCAAATCATACTCACTATATATGTTTTGATGATGGTACATATAATTCGCCAGATAATGGTGAATTCGCTTCGGAACTGGCATGGCAAATATCGTGTGGAGCACGACGTAGAAGTCAGTTTTTTCTAATAGAATAGCAAATTCGTCATTCTTTATAACAATATATATATTTCTTCGCTTTAGTACCACTTGTTACTATTGTGGCTGGTGGGAACCTTTACGCACTGGAT